AAACAAACAATATCTTTTAAACAATATAAAGGTAAACTTACTTGCCCACATTCAGCACAAAGTTGCAGGAGCTAGTCATATACTGTGGATAGAAAGATTAAGGTAGGTTATTAGTGTTTTTTTTATAATAAAAAATAAATGCGAAGGATATTTTAAAGTTGATAAATTTTGCAAACATTTGATAAGTGATGTTAATTATTCAAAAATAAAATAATGATATTAGTTTTTGAGAATATATTGTAATAATGAAAACATTTAAAATTTACAGTATTTATTATTTTTGCGTTCGATCTCAGGAAATCATTAAGACAAAAGATGAAGGTGTATGCTGTACTGGGAATGTTTGCAATTGTGTCAAATTGCCTTGGTCAAGAATCAGAAAACGAAGAACGCAAACTGAGTAAGAGGAAACCTCAATTTTTTCACATTTTTACAAATATTTCTAAACCATTATTTAACGAATTCTTTAAGTGACCTCAAATGTACATTTCGAAGTTAAAATTCCTATTCAACTTGTCTCAATCTGCTTTTACAAAAAGTAGCATAAAAGAACTGATTTCTTTCAGAACCTCAGATAAGTGTATTTAGTAAACAATGTTGTCCACGTCGTAATGGTATGTACCTTGATCTAACTAATGGTTAAGTCTGGGATGGAGCAGAGGGCGTGTCTCAGCCAGTATTCACACCTCAGTCAAACATCGAGGAATGTGGAGTTATGGTCGACCTGAGAGCTAACTTCCAGAATCTGACAAACTGCGTTCAGGATTGGCAAGAAGATGGTTGTTTCAAATTCCCGTTGTGTGGACGACGCATGCCTAGAATAGACATGTATCTGGGGAAAGAGCGCGGGGGTTATATGTTCAACTTTGGAGACAGTCCAAGCAATGACGGATGGGGTAAGTTGGTGTGTAAAAGTTAAGAGTTTCAGTTCATTTTTCTCTTTTCTTTTTTTACTCTGGAATATACAAATTTATAAGTCATGTTTTAATGGTTGAATTTATCTCAAAATAGGTGGTGATGCGAGTGACACTAAACACGATGCAGAGCTTATGGGACTACATCCCCACACCTGGGAAATAAAATCAGATTATTGTAAAAATGAGAAAAAAGCATGGAAAGACATTCTGTTGGCACCAGGTGTTACAAAAGTCACCATTTTGTTGCCAACAATTATGTCAGGATCAAGAATAACCAAGGATTTGATATGACGACATGTCACAAATGCCTCTTTGCTCTCAATGGACAGGAACCCGACGATAGAGCTAACACATTTTATTTGGCCTTCAACAACGTGATCAGAGGAACTGGCTGAAGGGGTTATGGAGTGTGTCGTGTTGGAATTCGCTGGGAATGCCCGGATTGTGGGAGATTCCGTCCACAACCGTTTCCGTTTCTCATTACAAAAACAGCCGAATAAACCCCAACTATATTGTGTGTTGATGAACAATAAGCTAAAATTTAGAAGAAAAAAAATACAGAGACATGCTAAGATTTTAAAGTACATGTAGTTGAACACATTTTCGAGAAAAGTATATCCATCAAGAGAACTCATTGTGAAAATATGAATGTAATAATGTAAATAATGTCTTTTCAAAGACTTTGATTTTAAATAAAAAAGACCTTTTGTGTCAAACAAGACTTTGTTCTATATATGGATCGTTCTCTCAACAAAACATAATGAAGTTCTAATGAACCAAGAAATGATCGGGTCAGCTCAAAGCCCTTTATTTTAATGACAAATTATTTTGAATGAATCAAAAATAATACTGAAGTTTATCAGTATTTTCAGAGGACAGAGTAACCTTTGGAGAGCAATGCAGCGTTTTAACTTTCAGCTACAAGTTGGATATAATTTTAGTTATTTCACTTGAATTATATTTTAATTATCCAGTATTTTCATTAACAATGATTGACTTCATGACAGAGAATCTCCTACCATTTAATTCTTATCTGAAGTAAATTCTGTCAGTTATTTAGCTAATGCTTCTGATATACAGTATTTGTGAGGGGAATGTTGAAAAATGATAAAGGGAAAAGTTGAATTTTATAATTTAGTTGATTAATAGAAAGCTGAATGCTAAAATGCATTTCTTTTTAATTCTATTTAAAGTGTAAGCACTTTTTCAGTGCTTGTTCATATTTTGACATGAAAACGTCTTAATCGATCTTGACTAAACCTTTCCTAGGAAAAAAAACCCATTGTAATTCTTTCCGTATCAGGATTTGAAAAGTCAAGCAGGTGATCATTTTAGAATGCTTTTGATCATCCATAGTTTTAACCGTCACGGTAGCTCAGTCGGCAGAGCGCTCGATCCGTGATAGGAAGGGTGTGTGTTCGAATAACGGCCGCGACTGACCTAAGTCGATAAAGTAGATGTAGGTGGCAACTGTTCCTTCGTTCAGCGCTCGGCACTTTGGAGTGAAAGTTGCGGGTCTTTCGGATCAGACCTACATAAAGTACATAAATACTGCGTTAACTTTTTGAAGGTATGATCTCGGGGCAAGAATGAAACCATAGTAAGTTTTAATGTTTTCAATAACAGTTTCTGACAATTACAAATGTCAAACACAAAAAATTACAAACACAATTATTTAATACTTTCTCAAAAAAAAAAAAAGAAAAAAAAAAAAAAAAAGATGGTCTAAAGACTGTAAACTTAGAAAATATTTAAATGAAAGTTGTGAAAATCTCGACTTTTACTTAAGAAATAAATAACAAGTTTAAAAACTTCAATGGGAATTGAAGTGGGTCGGTCCCGTGATCAAATCCTGTGAAGGCCGAAGGCCTTCTCAGAAGATTTGATCACGCACCGACCCACTTCAATTCCCATTGAAGTTTTGAATCTTGTTATTTATTACTTATATATACATTTGAGATGGACAATAGAATGTAATCGAATATAAATATTGCACTAACTGTACGTCGTAGATTTTGACAAATTACGCTAGGTGTAAGTCGGCTTGAAAAGCGGTTACGCTTCAAATTCATCTAGCAAAGGATTCTGTTTTGAAGGGAATATTCTGTGAAAGGCTACTTGTGATCAATTATAGTGAGCATATTGGTGTCTGGGAATTTTTGTATTCTTGAGAACCCATATTCGATGTTAAAAAACACAAGAAATACGTCCGATGTTTGATAATAAAAAGTTGGAGGAATTTCGGTCGGAAAGGGATGGATGGAGACACTTGTCCGGATCAGATAACTTGAAATCAAGTACAAAATTTGATCAAAAACATAAAATCTACGCTTTCAGTAAGGCATATTTATTAATTTATTATGTTGACATGGAGACACTGGCGACAGCTTACATTGTTAAGACAACGTCACAACGATCTCGATGATGGAGGTGTGCCTATCGAACTTCCAAAGTGCAATGTTTATCAGCTGTTTGTGGCGTGATTGCATTACATTGATATTTTTCAACAGATTTTCAAATTTATTGTGAGTAAAGTTAAAGGAAAAAAAATGTATAGCATTCAGAGGTCTGCGAGAAAAATAAGGCTAAACGTTGAGACTATGCAGCTCAGACATGGAACTTATAACATGTAGTTTTCTATTCTCTATGTAAAACCGATCAAAAACTGTATAAAATACTCGTTTACATTGTAAATAAAATGATTATTATTTTACTTGCGTATTTTGTAGATTTTTATGCATGAAAAACATGCTATATTGCTTAGTGGAGTGTCTTTTTATGTAGATATTACTGCGCTGTGTGATTAGGTCACGTAATGACCTATGACCTTCGAAAAACTTCATACAGGTATGAAGATATTTGCTCTCTGCATGTTTATATAATAGAGAGATACCACAAATGTATATATTTCAAATTAAAACATGTTTAAAATGTTGCAAATTGGTGTAATACTCAAATACGTACACATGATAAATTGCTAATTCCATTGCATCCAAAATATTTCTCGAGCTGTTCAAAAGCCATTTAACAGATTAGTATTTCCCATCTTAGGAATGTGCAGAGGAATTGTACAGGTTTATAGATTCTTGAGAAACTAAAGATTGAACATAAATTCTATGTGATAAGATGATTTAGTATACTTTTACAAAATGAAGTGTGCAATATTTTGAAAGTCAATAAAAATAATTAATTTCATTTATTTCTTAAGATACTCAATAAATATTTCGTGAAAAATTGCTCCTCATTTTTCTTCCTTGCAATACATTTGCCAAAACAAATTATCGACGAAAATATAGCCATGAATGTTTTATTTATTCATAGATGTTATTAAACGTTCAACACAATACTCAAATTCAGTAAAGTCTACTCCTTTATGCCATCAGCACCGCAGAACTGTTTTGAGTTACTTTGAAAAAAGATCAGTCTACTGTTTGGAATGGTGGTTGTATTTCAAATTAGTTTTTTTTTGTTTAAAAGACGAATTTCTTAATACTAGTATCACAATAATCAAAATTACACAATCTTAATTTCTTACAATAAGTGGTTTAGTCTCTTTATTTGGTTTACCGTTAGGAAATACATAATAATAGTCTATAAGACTAATACAAGTGTATATAGAAGGTAAGTCTTAAATATCATATATAATTTTTCAACGCCATTTTTACAATGAGACCATTTGCCTTGGTTACATCTGAATTGCAACAAGAGCTTCATTGACACCTTCTATACAAGGAAATTTGCTCGCATCATTCCAGCTCGTTCTGCAAATAAATAAAAATAAATTTAAAGAAGCAAAACCTACCCAGTTTTTGTGTATCTTATTCGCATATGAAAATTTTTACACAGTCTAAGACTGCTTGAATTAATGTTTAAATAGTTTCTTTATAGAAAAAACAGCATATAATTCTGTGTCCTATTAGGTCGATCATACCTACAAATAAATTCACCTTGTAACTCTGATTGAATGCAAAAACTTTTATTCTTATTCCTTTCAGTATACCGTTATTCGTTTGAATAACAGCGATAAACAAAATTTATTTACAATCTCTGTATTCAAATATCTACTTTAATACATAAACTCACCTAAATTCGAAATTGAACGAGTAGAAAGAAGTAGGTCAGGAAAAGCCCAGCCAGCTGTAACAAACAATGGCGTCATGTAAAAAAAAACCCAGTAATCAGGAACAGGTTCAATCAATGCACATCTACATTTTTTTTTATAAACAATATTGGATTTTAATTTAGATAAATTTTGTAAAACTGTTTAAATTAAGGGGGTTAATAATTGATTGCTTTCTGTATTAAATACCACTCATATTGATGTAATGTTTCATTGCATAAAAGTATCAATGAAAGAAATAAGATGATGTTAATCTACTCAACACTATGAACAATGGAGGGTTAACTGACAGTTTTTTTTATAAGATTTTTTTATTGACTGAATACTACAAGCGAACAGCGGCACTAGGCATTCAGTCGAATTAAGATTTCGCTAAAAATGATCAAAACCTTTATATTTTATTTAATTTGTGTTTGCAATTTCTCATTTACTTTGAAATTGCCTGCCCATATGGCGAAACCTATGAAGACCTAATCCTTTTTCTTGTCGGTTCTGATGCTATTGGCGGATCAAAGAGCAAACTTTGTTAAAATTGTATTCGGTAGACCACACAATTTACTGTTTGGAGGCAACGGCATTGAGTTTTTAGATTGGTTTAGCTAAAATTGTGTCAGTTAAAACATTTTTATGCCACCCTGGTCACTTCTCGTGGGTAGACTCTCACTGAACTGCATATGTAAAAAATCATTGCATCCCAATCTCTAATTAATTAACTAGTAAGTCAATTTATGTATTAATAAAAGAAGAATACTGTTTTTCTCAGAAATGAATTTTTTAGCGACTAGTCATCATAGACTAGTTGTAATGAGTGAGAATGAGCACAATGCTTCAAATTTGTAAACAAGAACAACAGGAGTGCAGTAATTATTTGCTAACATCAATATACTCTATATATTGCAATTGAAAAATTTACTACTCTTACTGTTAAAATCATCTCCTTGGTAATGGTGATGATCCCTAGCACGGAAAGTCCAACTGAAGGACCGTGGAGTTTGGCAACAAGCAGGTTAATCTGACAAAATATTATGAATGTTAGATATAAATGCCCTGTACATTCTAAGGTATATGTTTTTTACTTGTAACAATCAATTACATGTATATTGTTGTTTGCAAATTATGTCTTTGATTAGTTGCATACATTTCAAAAAATAATATACAGCTAAGAAGTATTTTTGTATATAGATATATGTTGAAGTAACTCTAAAATACTTTAATTACTCACTTGTGCAATATCCTGGATAGTGGCACCTTCTAAATTGATATCCATTATCAAGGAGGATAAATCATGCGCCTAAAAACAGAAAACAGTTTAACTGCAACGAGAGAGAGAGAGAGAGAGAGAGAGAGAGAGAGAGAGAAATATAGGAGAGAGATTACCTTCTCGTGTAATGTAGCTGATTTCTTGGAGATGATGAACAATATGAAGAAGGAAGAAGCAAGCCAGAAAGAAAGAGTGATGGTTTCGGGTATACTTATGGATTTGCTGAATCCATTTATCATATTATATGCTATGAAGCAGGCAAGTGCTATGTTTGCGGTGTACATATTTGCTACGTAGTAGCTCAGACTTTGGTCTACCGTTTCCACCATTTTACACAACTGTAGATGTTTCTGACGAACATTCTTAACGATTTCAAAACGATCGTCACATTTGTCTAAAGCTATGTTCTCTATAAGCCCATTTAATTCCTCAAATCGGAGTTGAATTGCTGTTGTTAGAGTGTAGTGAAGGACAATAGGAAATATCCAAACTCCTGAATTCAAAAACTGAATGAAGCACACTAAGAGTTTTACCAAACCCGAAGTATAAGACATAGGGTTGCATGTAGCCACCACAAAAGCTGGAACGATGTCCACGAAAATCAGAGAGGCTACAAGAAGTGAGTTGAAGATTACAATACTCCACCCTACAACTAGGTTTCGTATCATACATCTTCTGATTATTTGACATCCTGGATTTGTTTTAAGTCGCTTTGAGATCTGATCACTAATCACACGGTTATACTGTTCCGTATACTTTTGGAAGTGGTCCTTGTTATCAAAGAACACGAAAATAACGATAGCACTGATAGCATTCTGGGTGTACCATAGAAGAATCACTACCCTAAGTGCCGTGAGGCCAGGAACGAAGTCGTTTCCGACCCAGAAGCTTGGAATGTAGCGTAGAACATTTAACGTTAACAGACAGCAGATAAAAATACAATACACTCTCAAAAGTCTGAAGAAAAAACGAGGTTTTACGAATTCCTTGTTGTTACCACTCTTCTCAAGCCCAGGTTCGACTTTATCGTTCTTTGCAGAATGCCATAATCCAAAAATCCCAAGTGTCAAATGCAGCGGGCGCATGTGGAACTTAAAAGTCGTCATAGTGTGACAGATTAGTTTACGTAAACGACAGAGTTTGAATAGTTTTTATAACGCTATCAAAAGAACCAATAAAGCATCATTACAAAAAGCGATTGAAAACAACGCAAAATCGTCAAAATCCATTACATTTTGAACAAAGAAATCACGATTAAATACGTGTGTTGTCTCTATATAGTAATTGACTAGGGTAAAGAGAGGTTTAATAGAATTATCCGTTACGTTGATCAATATTAATTTTGAACGGAACAAAAAAGTAGAAGGCTTTTAAGGAGAAACAACATGATATTAAAACTCTACACAGTTGTTATAATTACTGTTTACTATCCATTATGACATCAAACATGATTTGTCGTGCATATTGATGTAGTCTGATTTGCTTACATAGCAAATGAAAAAAAAAGATTAGTTTATTTCGATCTCATAGTTTGTTTTCAATGAAAATTAAATATTAAGAACATTTCGTAAAAACGCAATTTTTTCTGAGTAATATTATCTTGTTCGAAGAATCGTCTCAATGACTGACTCTATCTCTTTATTTGCAAAGTGTATATAATGGTTGATTTTCTCGTGAAAATATCCGACGTGGGGTAAATCAAATACATCTTTAGATAGTTGATTCCAAATCTAGCATATCCAGGGGATCATGCGTTTTTCCACATTTCACAATTTGTATTATTCAAATGATTTTGAGGTTGATTACTGTTCTTTTTCTTATGCTTCATTATTGTTTTTTTTTTTCTTATAATAGTTAGTAATCAAATATATTAGAATTTTCCTTTCAAAATTCTGTGCATTATAAAGTATTACAAAATAAATATGCCAAAATTACTTTCATGCATATGCAAATGCTGGCATTTCAATTTATTTCATAAATTCTTTAAATATTGGTTATTCAATAATAAAAGGCAATTCATCTACTACCCGATGTAACCCTATTCACCAGCTCACAAATATACTTCCAGATGTAAGCCTATTCACCTACTCCCAGATGTAAGCCTATTCACCTACTCCCAGATGTAAGCCTATTCACCTACTCCCAGATGTAACCCTATTCACCTACTTCCAGATATAACCCTATTCACCTACTCCCAGATTAACCCTATTCACCTACTCCCAGATGTAACCCTATTCACCTACTTCCAGATATAACCCTATTCACCTACTCCCAGATGTAACCCTATTCACCTACTCCCAGATGTAACCCTATTCACCTACTCCCAGATGTAACCCTATTCACCTACTCCCAGATGTAAGCCTATTCATCTACTCCCAGATGTAAGCCTATTCACCTACTCCCAGATGTAACCCTATTCACCTACTCCCAGATGTAAGCCTATTCACCTACACCCAGATGTAAGCCTATTCACCTACTCCCAGATGTAACCCTAATCAATTTCTCCTAGATGTCACTCTGTTCTTACAAACATTCATATATTATCCTAAACATTTATTAAACAGTACATTTTTACAATTCTTATTCCGAAAACAAAATATCTTTAAAATTTCCACGTTGATCCTACTTCTGATATTTGAATAGATCCAGGTGTGTGTCCTTGTATTTTTTTTTATTATAGCTTATATTTTATTATAGATACATGTACTACTGTCCGAACTCATTACTCTTTATTAGAAACACTTGTATATGCCTGTATAATAATTCAATCGATCAGTCTACACAACTAGTGTCTGTTAACGTATTTAAAAGTTAACAGCAAGAAATAGTACACGTGCCAAGACAAATAGAAAGGCAATGTATCCCGACGTAGCAGGGGTACAAGTGAGTAAAATAAAATGTATAGTTACAAAACTTCAGTGAGGTAAGTTTGTGGACTGGATGACACACCTTCAATAAACCAAAAAAGAATAAAACGTAAGGATTTTGACTCGTAGTAATCACATTGAAAATGTTCTGTTTTTCAGCTGATGTGTAAATCATGCACAATTTTCACACAGGAACATTTCATACATACATACATGACAAGTCTGTGTGATTTACACATCAATAACATTCACATGTTTAAAACCAACAAAGAACTGCGAACGATAGTATTGTTCTCCCGCCTACCTCCAAGTCAATTTTCAAAAGTTAACACATTTGAATGATTTTTCATTTTATATAGATATGTTTATGAATTTTCATAAAACATTACTTCTTTGGGAAAACAAAGAGAGATAACTCTATAATTTGGGTAAAACTTGTGTTTTTCACTATAGAAATCAACGGAAAACGGAAAATATTTTTAAACCCCCCCCCCCCCCGTGAAACAAAAATTCATTTTTAGAGGTAATATGGACTGTCAGTTCACAAATTCATACCAAAGCTTTTTGTGTTTGACGAGGGGGACATATGTTTACAGACAAAAAACTACAAAAATGCTTATTTTTTCACAAATTTCAAAGGGTTTTACAACTAAAACATTGCATTTTATTAATAATATATGTTCAATTTTATATTATGCGTAAAACATAAGAAAAGATTTAAGGAACATCTATTCATATTCAAGAATATTTTAAAATGTGTTGATGCTTTAAAGCCCGATTTCAATGGAAATATCGTCTACCCCCCGTATTCAAAGAGCTAGAATTAGGGGTAGTTATCTATTTAACACTGGCATTAAAATTATCAGTCAATTACCATTGAACTGTTCTTTGCATTCAACAAAGATTTTACGACCAAATTGCCATTAGTATTGAATTAAATGGGTGTAAAATGTAGGCGGGAATCGAGAGTACGTAGTTCTTTGCACTCATGATTTTTTTGCTGTCTTAAATCGTTACGCAGTGTATTTTCATTGTCATCTCGATTCCTCTTGTACTACCAAATTCATGGAGAGACTGGCGAAATGCATGTTTGGAAAGCTATACGTACTCTATAAGTTTTTGAATCACAATATTTGAAGAATGACCCGAGAATAATTTAATATGAAACTTTTCAGCCCACTTGAGAGAAGGAAAACCTATTTCTCTCTTAAGTCAAACAACAAAGAGCTAGGTTCACTTTATGCATAAAATGGCCCTGTAGATATACCAATTTATTGACTAATACCCTATGTTCCATTTTAAACATCAAGATAAAGTAGAGACGTAGTGCTCCTATTAAAATTTTTCTCCTGAAAGTCCAGGTCTTGGAAAACAAGCTTTATGGAATTGCAATGTTCTTGAATTTTAAGGAAAACAAGTATATTTAAGCACTTTCAGAGAAGAAAAATAATATGAGCTCACCCTCTGATCTTAAAAATAAAACATGTTTTGTAATCCTCAGAAACGGTTCTATCAGTAAATAATTGCGTATTTTAGATCAGAGATTGCGCTCTATATTAAATATCGAAAAATAGCTTTAAAAATTGGCTGTTTTTGTAGAATTGTTCAGGATATGAAGAAAATGACGCATTTCATGACTTCATAATGCATTGACTAGCCAGAAAATTACTTCATTTTTGGTAGATTCGCAATCACCAAATGTCTAAATGAAATTTAATGCATTGTCAACTAAAGCTAAGCATTTAAGTTTTTCAGAAATTCACAGGGCCAAAAAAGGCCCTAAGTGAACCTTGTTCTTTTGGGAGGATTTAAAAAATCAAAATTTTTATCTAATTTTTTTTTGCAGATAACTTTAAAAATGTCCTAACTGTGATATTTTACGATAGAACGTCATAGTTCCATACTTTATTTCATAGTAAAGAAAAAAATCAATAGGAAATTTAAATTGTAATATTCCATATATTGTCATTGTCATTTTCAGTGTACTCTTATTACTCGTTTAATTTGGGAAGCATAATTGCTTGGAAATAATGAATAAAACAAATAAAGAGAAAAGTTCTATAGTTGAGAAACTTAAGTCTCTTAGTAAATCAAAGTGTAAGTTGGAAAACGAAATCGAAGTATTAAAGTTTGTATTATTATCCGTATGTACTATTAATAGCATGTACTATCAAAAGTATGTAGCATTATAAGTTAAATGTACTTTACTATTAAGTAAGCTATATATATATATATATATATTAGTGAAGTATACTTTAGTAAGGTTAAGTCTAACTGTAGATTGACTGATTCATAGTATTTTGTTTTACGTCCCATTGAGAACTTTTCACTCATATAGAGACGTCAAAATATATCCGTGAAGGGCTGTAAACTAAGAGCTATACTCGGCACTCAGGGCGATTGAGCTGCAAAGGTTCTTTATCGTGCCAGCGCCTACCCTGACACTGGACCTTGGTTTTAAAGGTTCCATCCGAAAAAACAATGAATTTCACTTCTAGCACCGGGTGCTTGGCGAAGGAACTATCACTACCTAAGTTCGTCTAAGGTTTGACACGGCGCGGCGAACGAGAATCAAACCCGGGCATCCCGATCACGGAGCGAACGCCATACCTGCCAACTCTAGATAAAAAGGGTAATGACAACGAACAGTGATTGATCTTCATAAATTCTATAAACAACACAAATCTGTGAACAGGGAATAAAACAGGAGCCCCTGTCACGGAACAAACGCCCTCCCAGCCAACTCTGGATAAAAAGAGTAAAAACAACGAACAGTGAATGATCTTCAAAAAAACCCTATAAACAACACAAATCTGTGAACAGGGCATCATTCAGGGGCCCCTTGAAATTTCAGATGTGGGATCAGGTGCCTAGGAAAAATAAGCATCCCCTGTCGACCGCTCACACTCGCAGTGCATGAGCCCTATGTATTGATCAGGTAGAGAGCATACTTCGTAGTAACATTTAGTATTTAGTAGGCCTATAACAGTTGGTATGAAAACTGTCGGTAAAAATATGGTCCAATGGTAGGTTATATTTGCTAACAAGGTCTCTATTACGACCGTAAAATTTACGAAATACTGACCTTAAAGGAGAAACTGAAGAAGCACATGCAGCAAAATAAAAAAGACGCTGACAATGATGATGACTTCACAAAATGGAAAAGAAACTCCAGATACACAGTAGTTCAGATATGCATCAAAACGTCATCCAAAACTTCGATAACTTAAATACAGAATGTATTG